TTTGGCCATTTTCTTTCAATAAACACTTCTCAGATTGTTATAAATATTTGATCCACTTCCAGGGTTTTGAAAAAGTTGTTTTGCCAATGTCATTACACTTATGGAAGAAAAGATTTTCAGTCTTAAGCCATATTTCTGGATTTCTGCAGCTTAAAGCTACCTTTGATTATGTTCAATTTTCAGTTTTCTCAAGTAATTGAGAACTAAATCCTTTAGAGACACAACTCCATCATATGTCACTTTGCCTCAAATCAAGCTCACAAGTTTTTGTTGTAGTTTTATTATTCCCTCAGTTTTGTATTTAGTGTGTATTTATTAGTTTTCTAATTAACTTTAAAAAAATATTTTTAGTTGTAGTTAGACATATTACCTTTATTTAATTTACTGATTTTTATGTGATGCTGAGGATCAAACCCAGCTCCTTGCAAATGCTAGGTGAGCGCTCTACTGCTGACCCGCAACCCCAGCCCCTCTAATTAACTTTCATTTGGTAGTTTAGAATGGAAGTGCCAAATCCTACCAGGGTCCTGGCTCTGTTTGCATAGATAGCTCACTCATATAAAAATGGTTTTTACATCTTTAAATGATTGTAAAAGAAATAAAACCCTAAGAAGTGTATGTGACTGAGATCATACATGGTCATCAAAGAAAGCCTAAAATATTTACATCTAACCTATTATAGTGAAGATTGCCAAAGCCTGATTTACAGTGAGGTGATGGGGGATGGTAGGTTTAAAAGAAGTGGGTCCATTTGCTACAGTGGCCTTTGTAGTGTTTTTAAATCATTTAGTGTTCCTTTGAGAGTCCCAGATTATAGTCTCAGTACTGGAAGAAACCTTACAGATTGTCTTCTCCAAAGTCTTACACTAGTGAAGAAACCAACATTCAAAGATATTTCAGTATCATATTGCAAATTAGCCAGGTTTAAAACCTTAGGTTTCTGAATGTGGTTTACTTTTCTTTTCATTCTCAGTAGCCTAAAATTTTTTTCTGCCACATCTTTCTCAAAAAAAGTCATTCTTTCTCTGATTCTATCTCCTCTTTCGTGTGTGTGTGTGTGTGTGTGTGTGTGTGTGTGTGTTTGTGTGTGTCTGTGTGATAATGAGGATAACCCAGGATAGCCTCATGCATGCTAGGCAAGCACTCTACAACTACTCCTGGCTCTTTACATTTTTTATTTTGAGACAAAGTTTTACTAAGTTGCTGAGGCTGGCCTTGAACTTGTGATCCTCCTGCCTCAAACTCCTGAGTTACTGGGATTACAAGCATGTACCACTGCACCTGGCTGGCAAAAATCATTATTTTTTATTGTTGTTGTTTGCTTGTTTATTTGGTACCAGGGATTGAACCCAGGAGCACTTAACCTGGGTTAAGTGCTGAGCCACATCCCCAGATCCCCTGGCCCTTTTATTTTTTACTGTGAGACAGGATCTCCCTAAATTGTTCACAGCCTTGCTAAGTTGCTGAGACTAGTATGAACTTATGATCCTTCTGTCTCAGCCTCCCAAACAGCTAAGATTAGAGGTATGTGCCACTATGCCTTGTAGAAAGCATTCTTTTTTTTAATTGGTTGTTCAAAACATTACAAAGCTCTTGACATATCATATTTCATACATTAGATTCAAGTGGGTTATGAACTTCCATTTTTACCCCAAATACAGATTGCAGAATCACATCGGTTACACATCCACAATTTTACATAATGCCATACTAGTGACTGTTGTATTCTGCTGCCTTTCCTATCCCCTACTATCCCCCCTCCCCTCCCCTCCCATCTTCTCTCTCTACCCCATCTACTGTAATTCATTT